ATAGAATAGAATAGAATAGAATAGAATAGAATAGAATAGAATAGAATCTTAACGAGAATAGAATAGAATTCTTTTATTGGCCAAGTGATTGGACACACAAGGAATTTGTCTTTGGTGCAAATGCTCTCAGTGTACATAAAAGGAAAGATACATTTGTCAAGAGTCAAGAATCATCAGGTACAACACTTAATGATAGTCATAGGGTACAATAAGCAATCTAATCATTCTCAGAAACAGTCCATATAAATTGTAAGGATACAAGCAACAAAATTACAATCACAAGTGGGAGAAGGGCGATAAGGAGTGATGAGAAGATTAACAGTAATAGTAGTGCAGACTTGTAAATAGTTGGACAGTGTTGAGGGAATTATTTGTTTAGCAGAGGGATGGCGTTAGGGAAAAAACTGTCCTTGTGTCTAGTTGTTCTGGTGTGCAGTGCTCTGTAGTGTCGTTTTGAGGGTGGGGTTTGAAACAGTTTATGTCCAGGTTGTGAGGGGTCTGTAAATATTTTCCCAGTCCTCTTTTTGAGTCGTGCAGTCAAATGTTGCTGAGTGGGACATTTATTAAGTGAATGTTGTCCCATTTTACGATCTTTCTTGCCACCGTTGTTAAGTAAATCGCCACAGAAGTTAAGTTAGTAGCACGGTTATGTTAAGTGAATCGGGATTTTCCCTTTTGACTTTGCTAGTTGGAAGGCCGCAAAACGGGGATCACGTGTCCTTGGGACACTGCAAAGGTCATAAGTACGAGACAATTGACCAGGGTCAGAATTTTGATCAGGTGACTAGGGGGATGCTACAATGGTCCTAAGTGTGAAAATGGGCCACTTTTTGTGATGTAACTTTGAACAGTCACGAAATGATTTGTTGCCCCTGTGTGTGTGGACAAAGACATGCTTCTATTTAAACATGGCAATAACAACAACACAGGGACGCGGTGGCTCAGTGGCTAAGAGCTTGTCGATCAGAAAGGTCGGCAGTTCAGCAGTTCGAATCCCTAGCACCACGTCACGGAGTGAGCTCTCGTTACTTGTCCCAGCTTCTGCCAACCTAGCAGTTCAAAAGCATGTAAAAAATGCAAGTAGAAAAATAGGGGCCACTTTAGTGGGAAGGTAACAGCGCTCCATGCGCCTTCGGCGTTTAGTCATGCCGGCCGCATCACCACAGAGACATCTTCGGACAGCGCTGGCTCTTCGGCTTTGTAACGGAGAGGAGCACCGCCCCCTAGAGCCACAAACGGCTAGCATGGATGCGCCTTTACCTTATGGCAATAATTTTATGTCAGAATGGGGCAGTTTGCCACAGCCAAAATCATCATGGGCCTTTCGCCGTGGCCAAACCGCCATTGGTCACCTGGCCACGGACAATCCCATGCAGAATAACTCGATGCGACAAATGTTACCTGCTCCTGTTTTCCTCAATATTATTTCCATTTTTGTCCAATGAAAATAATGTCCCCAAAAACAGCGGCGGATAAAATTTATCTTCTTGAGTTAGCCCACAGGGGGAATTGTCCACGGTGAGTTTTCCCGTGGTGAGTTGGCCACTGCGTGTTGTCCTAAACCCAACCTGCGTAACTCAGCTTGTGGAATTCTTTCTGGCTCCCTGATGGAGCTGCCCATCAGGGGTTGTCTTGGGAAGGATCTAAGGCGGCGGAGAAGCCATTGTGATTCTTTTGACCATGTTGTAAAACAGAGTCTTAAAAGCACATCTGGGCATTTTATTTAAATTTCTCAGCCAGCCATGGCAGCAACTTTAAGACTTGCGGACTTCAACTCCCAGAATTCCCCATTCTGGCTGGGGGAACTTTGGGAGTTGAAGTCCACAAGTCTTAAAGTTGCTGCCATGGCTGGCTGGGGAATTCTGGGAGTTGAAGTCCACAAGTCTTAAAGTTGCTGCCATGGCTGGCTGGGGAACTTTGGGAGTTGAAGTCCAGAAATCTTAAAGCTGCTGCCATGGCTGGCTGGGGAATTCTGGGAGTTGAAGTTTACAAGTCTTAAAGTTGCTGCCATGGCTGCCTGGGGAATTCTGGGAGTTGAAGTCCTGAAATCTTAAAGTTGCTGCCATGGCTGGCTGGGGAATTCTGGGAGTTGAAGTCTACAAGACTTTTAAGTTCCCGAATTTCAAGACCCTTGGATTAGGGGAATTATAATCCAGAGACTGGCAACGTACCTGTGGATCCGGATCCAACCGGCCTTGTGGAGGAAGGTGGGGAGGGAGAAAGGGTCACCGTTGTCAGCCCGCTGGTGGAGGTGAAGTCTTTCTTAGCAATCCCCCCCGAAGAAGTGGGATGGGTGGTAGGCAATGCCGGAGGCAACGTTGGCGTCCGTGAGGCCGTTGTGTTTGCAGCGATGACAGCGACGGGGGTGGTAGTGTCTCCAGGCTTCGTGGGCAAAGAAGGGGCGGTGGTTTTGACTGTAGCCCCCGTTGTGGGTGCCTTGGATGGTACCACCGCAACTGGAGAAGTGGGGGAGGTT